AGAAAGGAAGGAACACGAAAAGTATTTTATTTTAAAGAACATAGTACCAATGTACCATGAACAGCTTCATCATTCACGACATTTAAGTTAAAACATGAAACCATAAGATTTTTTTCAATTACAGCCACAGAAGAACATAAACAAGTGTGGATGCAGTCACATCAATCTTGCATAAGCACTGAAATTTCACATGGCCGAAAGGAATATCCTTGCCTTTACCCTGTTCCCATCGCAGCGTTCCCACCAACTTTTAGAAAATAGTTTAGTTGATTAGTTACTGTGCTCTAGAGAAGAGATAGACAAAAAGGGTGCAAATAAGAATGGTGATCAGGAAAAACATGTATATCTAATGAATAGTCCCTTTAGTTAGAAAGAGGCTCTAATGCATCTTTCAAAAAGGAACTTGAGGTCAGATTTTTTTGTTTTGTTAACACCTTGGGTAAATATAGCTGTGGCACCAATGGACAGAATTCAGAATCAGGGATATACATGGATTACAACTCCCAACAAATGACACTCTCCAATTCCAAAACTTTATTTTAGCCGTGTGAAATTCATTTACTGCAATCAACAGTACAGTTTGGCAGTAAGCATTAAGTTTTCCACAAAAATAATATTTTAAAAATGCTAGAATTTTCCCCTTTCATTAATTCAAAATAACTGCAATTGTTTCAAAATTTGACACTGCCAACGAAAGAAAATGCAAGGTGCTTGCTTAAGAGAGGAGAAAGTAATGAAGCATTAATATACTACAGACAAGTATACGTGGAGAAAATATAAGCCTCAAAATTGCGTTTGGAGTCTTCAGCAATATTAATGCACTGAGGGAAATAGAAATAGTGAATATCACTCAACTGGATTTCATGAAGGCAGGTATGATTTACAGAATGAGTCAGTGAGTGGAGAACTACATATTAAAACATATTAAATATTGGCTAAGGATCAGGAAAGCCACCATAAGATGAATTTTTTAGTTTGTCTTGAGATCTGGACTGAATTTGGCATGCAGCTAAACTCCATTCTGTCAAAAGAGAGTCTTACAAGACAGCTGGCAAAAACGCCCTTTTCCAGCAACTGTTTGAACTGAAAACTTTCTTTTCTACTCTCTTTTCATTAGGAAAAAAAAAAGTCATTTTTCTATTCTTAAAGGCAAAAGCTGAAGCTATTGAAATGTTTCATGGTCAATATAAAAACAAGTATAATAGCACAGAATAATGTAAGAATGAAGCCTCATGTCTGATTTCACTCATTTCCAGTTAAGAGTGGTTGACATACTGTTAGCGTGAAATAAAAATTAGATGCTCAGAAAGTCCCAGTGAGTTGCCACAGAAGACAAAAACTGTTCTAATGAATCACTGCAATAAAGAAAAAAAAACTGTTTTCTTAAATCTGGATATGACTGATTTCTATGAAAATTGTGTTTTATTGACATGATCAATAATTCCCATGAGTAAAGTTTTTTTTTAAAATGTTATTCTCAAAACACATGGACATTAACACTATTCTACTTTATTTTCTGGGCAAAAAATGAGCTTATTTGAAAAGCAACTGTAATCCAGAAAAGTCTATATAGCCACAATTAACTTTGCGTGTATTTTAACACAAATTGCTTTCAAAAAAGGTAGCAGAGATCTTTCCCAAATCTACCCAATACTTTGAACTATGTGCTATTAAAATTTACTATTTCTCCTCCCCAGAATATGAAGAATTCACACAGATTACTAGGGAGTTACCGCTGCTTTGCCTGGACTGCTGAGTCCTGCTCTGACAGCTCTTGGGAGTTTTCAATTCCATTTCCTGGGTTACCAGACTTAAAAGCTGCTGGATAATAATGCAGCAGCTTGTAAATGCCCTGATCTGTGCATTGCTCTCATGTATCTTTTAACAGCTCTTTCCTAATTGTTTCATATTCCTTGTGGACCTTAAATACTCAGCGCTCTACAAAGAATGCTCTGTGTTTTTAATTCATGATCTTGTAACTTATATATTGGCTAAGATGAGAACACAAGTGGTTTGCACTGAGAAGAGATCCAAAGGCCAAACGGTTGTTAGTAAGAGAAATCTCAAGGACTGAAATTTAGACGAATCATATTTAAAGGTCCCCTTTAATTGTTTCAACACAGAAAGTATTGCGTTAATGAAAACGGTTATCACCGATATGCAGAAACTTCAGAGTATCAGAAAATAATCTTGAGAAGAAAGGTAGCAAGTGCAACAATATAAATGACAAGACTAAACACCTAGGAAATAGTAACAAGAATTTTTGTTGCGTACTGAAGAATCATCAGCTGAAATTGAGGAGGAAAAGAAAAATTGTGTTACTAGTTGATTAGAGGCTGAATTGCAAGTCGTTAGGGTGTTGTGCTTTCAAAGACTGTGATGAAGCGGGACAGCCACTGCCATTACACATGGGAGAGATTTCTGAACAAATCATTCGAGATTCTGAGGACCCCAGGAATTAATTTCCCTAAAAAGGGGCAGAGAAGGGCTATGAGGTTGATCAGGAAATGGAGAGCCTATCATATACAGTAAGTGTTTGGCTGGCTTACCTTGCTAAAAGGAAGATAGGGTTAAGAGGATACAAGACAGCACATTGCAAAGGAAAAGAATTAGTCGAAGCTGAAGGACACCATGGGTAAAATTCATTGGTAATGAATGAGATTACATAACATAGTTACCTACAAGAGGACTGAATTTGTCACATATTTTACTCTCCTATGGTCCCTGTCACTTCTCGCAATCTCTCTGTCTGGGGCGTTAAGACCTCTGCAGAAAAAAATATGTAGAAATCTTGGAAGACAACTGTCTGTATTGGGGTTTTCCTTGGAAAGAAGGGGCACGTACATGGGATTGAACCACAGGCAGCCACGCGGAGCAGCAGCAGCTTCTTCGCGCCACCCTGCAGAGCGGCAGCTTGAACCCCACGCTGCTCAGCGGCACCGAGGGACACGTCCAGGCTGGGGCTCCGTGCTGCTTACTGAGCACTCCTGGCCAGCAGCAGTTTATCTTGTGACCTGAAGATGACGCTGGACCATGGATTTCCCATCGCTTTACAAGCTGTTGATTCCTACTTTTGTACTATCCTGCTTCAAGAACGGAATAACCCAAATAAATCTGAAGTGAAGGCATCTCATTTCCCTGTGGAACACCATATACACATTTCCATAATATATGCTTTTGTAACCTGTACAGTCATTTGTCACCATCCCTTTGTTTTACTCTATAAAGGAATAAAGTTTTTTCTGACCTATCCACACCACTAGCTACACTACTACTTCTTGCAAGGCTGAATCTAGCAGGAAACATACCTGTGACCATTCAATTCCACTCTGTGCTTTTAAATAAACATGACATGCACTTGATTAAAAATTTAAATCACATCCTGATACTACTGTGAAGTGACATTTCAGGTCCAAGAATGTGTTATGAAGCTGAGAAAAATCAAAATCTTTTGAATGATGTGAATCATATGGTTGCTCCAAAAATAAAAATGAAGCAAAATTGGCAGTTTTGATTTTCACCATACATATGTATGTTAGTCTTCAAATCACAGAGCAATATGCAATATAATACATGGACCTATCCAGGTAATACCTACATTCTGTAAGGTAAAATATAGCATGAACATGCAAAATCTAGGCCCTAGTAGACTTTCTAATACTCCAGCATAATCTAACCAATTAAACAGTTTAAACAAAAGACTAAACATGTTACCAGAAACAGTGTACAGTTTTAGTGGCCTCATTTAAAAGGAAGTCTCGTGGAGAATTAGGAATCTTATACATTCATCTTGCTAGGAGGCATGAGAATTGCTGCTAAAGGTCATGTCCTCGGAGGTATTGAGCACTGCCGGAGGAACCCATGAGTTCTTGTCTTTCATCTGAGCATATGAATATTCCACGTTATGCCAAGGTCAAAATCCAGGATTGAAGCGATAATCTGACTTACATTTTAATACTTAAATGTACCACAGATGACCAAGTTCTCCCTGTTCTGGGTTACTGCTACTTCCCTGAGAAAGTGTGGCAGAAGCTAGTTTGAAGACCTCTGTCATTATGATATGAATTTTCTTCTTTCCTGCCATGCATATTTACCCTTAGACAACACCTGGCTCTTAACCCCATCTGCCACTTCACAAGCTGTCAAATGACTATTCAAGCATTAAAAAAAATGAAGGGTCTGTTAAGTTGTAAATTAAATGACAGTCTGTAGCTGAAAATTAGCAGTAACGTGCCTAAAACTTTATTGATTGCTAAGAAAAGGTGAATAACCCCTACTGCTGCTGGCAGTGTAATTACTGACCTCAAGAACTCAAGAGTTATTAATTTAAAAACAGATATCAGTGAATTAGCAAACAGCAGTTACTTTGCACCAGGACAATAAAGGTATCTATGAAGCTTTTGCATGTAGGTTTTCCCTACCACCTTGAAAGATATGGTTATATACCTGTATTTCCCATTTTATTGCAGAATATAATCCAAGCTACATCTGGACATATAATGCTTGTTAACTAGTTTGGAAGATCAGCCTGAATGTCCCCACAGATACTGAGGCCTTTCAATATGTTTTAAGTAAAATCTTTCCAAAAAGGTTGCTAAATTACTACTGCTAAGGGCCAGATAATTATATTGCACAGCTCAGCCATTCTGATCATCTTTATTGCGAGAGAAGGAGAGATGGAAATGACCAATAGCAGAAAAATAGCAGACAGCAAACAGACATCAGTAAAGTTCCTTTAAATACGTGATTCACGCATAAAAAAAGCTCTGTTCATATTGCTGCGCTTTATCTGTTATAGCCTCCTTCTTTCAATGTACATTGCAGAGAAATAGTAACAGAAACCTATTAAAACAAATGTTTCAGCAATTATAAAGGTAACTTTTTCTTGTTGTTGTTGTCCTTAGCAGTAAGTACTGACTGTGATAGAGAGATTGTTTCCTTTAGACAAAGCAGACTGCAGTTTGGCTAACTGAAGTAATGAAAAAATAAAGGTATCTGACCTGGTGCAGATGTCCTTCCATGAAGAGTTGTTTCATTAGGGAGCAGATCTTTTGAATTGGAAGTGAACGGTGATTGTCTAAATGTGTCCTCAGAAAAGAAAGGGCTATGGGGAAAATAAGATGTCTTTTTGTAAACAAAATATCAAGTGACATAAAAAATATGCATGACTTTTGACCCTAATATTTTAATATTGTTACAAATACCTTAATGTTAAAAGACTACATAATTCACAGAATTCATGCTGAAAGATCTGCAGACTGTGAGAGAAAGCGTGGTGAAGAGGTATGCTTTAGTTCAACTGCATCTCAGAATGAATGCTGAATGTTCCTAAAACATTATAAATTACAGCATTTCAACATCTCGAATTGGCAATATCACATCACAGTATGGATCATGACAATGTTTCAAGAATTTGTACTTGAGCAATATGATCAATATTGGAAAGTTGGAAAATATTTTAATACATTTATGGTATTTAAAAATCTGATGAATACAGGAATTATGTTCCATACAAAACTTCTAATTTTACGTTAAACTGCTGAATGGTTCGCCTTTGACATGGCATTTCCATGTATGAAACGAACTCCATGAATGAAACGAACTCCATGAATTCTCTTTTCAAAGCAGGATACACTTCATATAAGCTAACTCAATGGTGACTTCTTAAAGATTAAGTGCAAAGATCATTTTGAAATCATCTCTATTTCAATGTGAAAAGTTAAAGGTGTTTTGGTTTTAATTAACAGGCAATAAAAAGTCAGTTTCATCACTGAACAGACATTTCTGTTCTGTTTGCTGCTCAATTAAAAATCACAAGACTCCCTTCTCTATGACACAGACAACAATAAGATTTAGATCAAAAGTTTTTTTGTTTTTTGTTTTTTTTTTTTTCTCTTGGAAAGCAGTTTTCCAGAGTATTTCAACTAAATTCAAAGTATGTATTTCTTCTGAGTAAAATGAAGACTACATTTAAATTTGATATCTACTGTATTGAGAATCCATAAGAAGCTGGTGCATAATAGGTGTTTTAAAGGTGCAGGATAGGAGACCAGCTGATTTCTGAGGCCTGTGCTTACCCAGTAATAAAATCCAGGAACCTCTACAGGGTAAGGAACACAGTATCAGGTTTTATGAAGTGTTGCACAGTGGAGAGTCCAGACCCAGTGTGCATGTGCCAACAGCACTAATCAGAGTAACTTTACTGGTCCAGGTACACGAGGTGTCAACTCAAACAATAACACACATGTAAATCTTTCCCCACTAGAGTCCTTGTGCAGATGGCGAGCAATGTGTTCTCCTCTGACTGACTTGCATTCACTGCCACATCTCTTTTGCCATTGTGAAGCTTGTCAGTTAACCTGATCTAACGACACTTTTGGTAATCACCTTACTCTCCCATTAGTTTTGGGGCATCGTTCATTTTGTGTTGCTTCTATAGAAGTTTGAATGTAACCACAAACATGCAGTCCACATTAAATTGCCCGGTTGGTAAGGCATGAAGCCGCCTGAAACCCGAAAAGTTCAGTGTATGCAGACAGTTGAACTGTGCAATACTCATGGAAAAAAATGATTAATCAGTCTAAAGCAAACAGCTCCAACCCACATGTACAAAATTTCCAAGGCTCACACTCCCATTCAAGGGTAACATAACACAAAACAGATTATCGCTATACAAAAATACGGCATCATTTACTGCAACTTTTCTCTCACTAGTTTAACAATGATCTGAAAGAAAAACACCACCAACAAAAATTTATTGCAGCTCTTCAGGTTCTTGTAACCTGCTCAGGTTTCCACGCTGGCCACCCTGTTTGTGCCTCAAATTCAGTCACTAGGTCACTGCCTGTTGCTGATTCTAAGCAAAATGGATGATATAGGGCTCATGTACTTAGGGCTAGGCCTTATATCATCAACAGGCTGCTGCTGACGACCGCATTCTGTTAAGGTCTCAAGGATCTCCCTCTCTGCCACCAGCCTCTGCTAAATTACAGAACCTGCGTGCCCTAATTTCTGCCCTCCTCTAGAATGGCAGTTAAGTCTCTTCAGCTACACAATTTTCTCTTTTCTAGATGAAAGAAATTCATCATGGCATCTTATGCTGGCATGCTGACTTCCAGATCATTTTCTTCTCCACTTTCCATTTCAAATCACAGATGGCAGGGTCTACCATATACCTCCTGGGAGGAATTATCGCCAGTTTTGGCTCCTTGAACAAACTCCCATGGAAGTACGTATCTAGAAAGTCCACGTACAGGACTTTCAGAGGAGGAACAGAAACAGATAGGTGAAAGTTAAAACTGCTAATATGGAACAGGACAGCAAAAAGTACTTTTATACCCCTATCTTGATGAGTTTTGCAGATTTAAGATTGCAGATTTAAATCCTTCCACTCCCCATCTACTCACAGGTGGACAACACTGACCTCACCTTGGCTCTCTGCAGCTTTCAGCAAACTTCACATAACAATCATAATTCAAATGTTTTCCTGTCCTATATCCTCCAGATGTATGCTGCTTAGCCAAAATAACTACAAGTTTCCCTAATGCAGCATTCGTGCCCCTATCCTCCACTGGCTGCTGCATCACATTCTATTTCTGAGGGGGTATCATACACTCACCATCAAGCAAAAACTTCCTTTTTAGTTTATTTTGTTTTGTTTTGCCAAGTCTTTTGAAAACTTCCTTTTTAGTTTATTTTGTTTTGCCAAGTCTTTTGAGTCAATCTGTTTGAACTTGCAAGATTTAGTAGACTGATTGACTTCCCATTAGGCAGCTCTGACTCTTCTCATTCATGTCTTCTTCTGTTGATAAGTAGGACAAAAAAAAAGCACCCGGAAGAAGTGAATCAGCCACTCAACTTTTCATACCCTCATGGCAGCAGACATTATCAGGACTTCTCAGAAAAATTCAGTGTAAATTTGACAACAACCAGCTCTGCTACCTTCATCTAAATTGGCAGCCAGAAGAAGGCCCAGTTATCTTTGAACTGTCCTTAGCCTTTCTTGCCTGAATTATCTTTGGTAAATAATCTCTGGAGGTGCCCACACTAGTCCTGCTACTGACACCACGAGACACTGAAATCGATTTTGACCTGACTGACATTATGTGTCACCCTCTCCCCACATCCCATGCTGGATGGTGAACGCGTAGTTGGACAAGATGTGCGTTTATCTCTGCACGCAGCTCTCAGTTTTATGCTTTGTAAGGAGTCATAATAAGGCTATCCAGTCTGCACGTTCCATGAAATCCCAAACTAGCAAATATGGAAAGTGTTTACAGTAGCCAAAAGTTAAAAGCTTAATTTAATTCTCTTTCAATTTGTAAAACCAAAGGGTCTCTACCATACATTTATTGAGCTGATCGGTTTATTAAAACCATATTTATCACAGTTACCATGATTGAATGGGATGGTTCCAGGAATTTAAGAGCAACATATTTTAGAGTTAATTTCTTCTTCAACGGAAATGTTTTTGAAGTTCTGTCTAGACAAAGCCATCTTAATTAGCAGGCACTGTACACTGCAAGAGCTTCTGCAGAAGGGGCTGCAGAGCAACAGAAGGTCTCAGTCCATTTCTGAAGGAACTGTTCACCACTTCAGCATGCTCAGTCTCCAGCTCATCCACACTGACCAGGAACTTTCAGGGAGGGAATAAATGTGCCCTTGCCCCCAAGGCTAAATGCAAGCTGCAGAGGGTGTTGAAGATCTAACTTTTGGACTTAGCACCCAATTCCTGCTTACGCCTCACCTAAATCTTCACTGACTCTTGCTGCAGACCTTACATAAGATGATCTTTGAATTTTCTCACAAAGACACCTCACTTTGCTGCTCACTTATATTTAAAGAACTTGTGACCTTGTTCCCAGCCAAAATACTATAAAGTGCATATTTTTTGAACAGCATGTCCTCTATGTGCTCTAATTGCGCCACATTTTAAATTCCTGTAGAGTTTCACTTATTTTGTTAATGTGACTGTAACCTCAATCAAATGTTTCATTCACATTGTCTCTTACAGTCTGACTTTTTAAAATTCATCTCTGGAAGACACTGAGATGATAAGAATACTCAACTGAAATTTTATTCAAGAAATCCAAGTCTGCCAGAGGACTGAATCATAACACCTCTTCTTACATTGGTCCATGTCTTAAAATCCAGTTGTCAGCCTGTTCTTCCCTCAAGTACTGCATGTATTATGCAGTTTCTTTCAAGGTTCATTTTTTTTGAAAAAAAAAATAGAAAAAACAATTCTTAATATCATGCATGCATTCCATAAGAGAATGGTAATTTTGGCACAGAGGTCTTGTCTCGTGAACTTCAAACAATCAGATCTGTATGCATATTTTTCAGGCATAGATTACATTACTGCATGAAAATCTCTTACATTTGCAAGAAAAACACATATCTGAGTTGCAGGCAACAAATAAGGCAACATTAACAAATGCCATCTGCACTACAGCTCTACAAATAACAATGGACTGTACTTACCTGGTTGTAGTTCTGATGGTGTTATCTTTATTGTGATTGTGCTCTTTGCTCACCTTTTCTGCAGAGGAACATACATTTTTTGTGATTACCTTACATAGATACATGGATATGTATATACATAGAAACACATACAGATAAATAACCATATTTTCTGTATTGGACTTTATTCAGGGGAACTATTTCAATGCTCTTTCATTACAGAGTATAATCCAGAATAATTTGGAGCAAATGGTTACAACGTAATTAGAACAGGAGCGTGATTTTATTTAAACTGCAAATCCAATCAAAATTGCCCTGCTTCATACTTCAGTGTTAGTGCTCCATGCAGACTTTGCAATGCAAACATTTGTAAAACACAGTGCAGAAAGGAATGTAACAGCCAACAGTCTTTGTGAAGAGAAGTGGACAGAACAGCCACAGGAATTCTGCATGCTGCAGCCACTGGCCACTTACACCAGTAACTGGCAGCTATAGACCCCTATACTCTGAGCCCTTGATCAAGCGGCTGTCACAAATTACTTAACTAGCTTTCAAAAATACAGGAGTTGAATTTGAGATTTTCCCATTCAGTTCAAATATTATGAACTTGACCTGACTGTCCCTGTGCTCTAAAGCACATATGTTAAATGTAGGGAACATCTGGCAAAGCTTTTGCATTTCCAGTGTGAGGGTAGAAGGGCTTTAGCTCTTATTACTTTTCTGCCACAGCAGGCTCACACAATCATGGCTCTTTAATGGTTATACACAATCTTTCTCTGTTCTTTAAATTCTGCTAGCAACTATTTCAACTGCTTTTACCTGATAACTGGAAGAGCAACTCGGATGCCATCTTCACTGATATATCCTGGCTGAATAGATTTCTTTCTGGGAGCACACGACCTTCTGGTGCCTTCTGTATGTGTTCACTAATCTCTCGCCCTAATAAAGTGCTGTAGCCAACATTTTGGTTGGGTTGGCTAGGTGACACTGAAGCCTGTGAATCATGAATGTCAACTTCCATTGGTTCTTCTTTTATCTTTACCATCTGGGTTTCTTTATAACTCTCAGCTGCAAATATGTATTATAAAAAGAAAAACACAATTATTTAATTGGGTTACAAATTTTGAGAGCACTCAAAGCAGGAATCACAATTATGAAGTTGTAATATGTTTACAGTATCAAAGCAAATGGAAGGGAAAGCAAGCAGCTGATTGCTACAGTACTCTTCTAGGGGTTATAAATAGAAGAAATATCTTGAAAATAATTTTTCAAATTAGAGAGCAGAAAACACTCACATATTTGTAAATGTGAGAATTGAATCATTTTCTGTGAAAACCGGGTAATTACATCCCAGTTAGTGAAGCACTGCTTTGTTTATTAAGTGAAGTTACAACTACACACCAGCTCTCAAAATATGAGCGCTGTAGGCTTCATTACAAACTCTAAATTACTCTTCATCAGTTGTTGAGATGGGAATTCAAAGTACCAGCATAGATAGTTAGAAGTACTGATATGAAGGTGGAGGAAGAAACTTGATTGGCTCCTGCTTATTCTCTTTGTCTTTTCTAGAAAATTCCAAAAAACTATTTGAAGGGCCAGTCTGCCATACCAACATATGCTTCCAAGAGACCACCAGTATTGTGGGGTCTCTGCTTTTTTAAAGCCCCATTTCCTAACTGGCATAGATGTCCTCTCATCCTCTCATACATTACAAGACCCAATAACCTTAACGACCAATTTCCACTAACCCATCATCCTTCCCTCTCTGCCCTCCTCTCCAGTGCCCTGGCACTAAAAAATAAACTAGTAGTCTAGAAATTATTTGTAGTTCAGTGTCTACTCTTGAGCTTCCTCGGGTGCCACTGGGTTGGCTGCAGGAAAGCAACTATTTTTCTTCAAAGCAAAAGCTCCGACACCTCAAAATCAAGGCTCCAAGGTAATTTGCTAGCCCCTTTTGACTCAGATTTTGTGCCACAAATAGAGAAGTTCAGAACCTATGTAACTTGTTTGCAGTTTAGCTTCAGAGACAGATGACTGCCTCTTTTTTTTTTTTTTAAATACCATTTTTCAGCATGCTCCTGAAATGCCAAGTTGATGCCATGGCTGACCAGCCCAGTAGAGTTCTACTGCTGCTGCCTGTGCCTGATCACTTAGCAAGCAGGACCCCAAAAAGACAGCAATATGCCTGAGTGACACAAGGAAATAAATGCATGAAATAAATACATGAAATAAATAAATGCAACCATGTACCAGAAGGACCACCCAGGCAAGGTTTTTGATCTTTCTGATCAAAACCATACATGGGCTTCATTTTTTTTGCCTAAATACGTAATTCTGCTACTCAAAAATCTTAAGAAAAATCTGCTTGTTTACTTGTTCAGCACATGCTTTGAAGAGTCCACCTGTAGTCTTGATAGCCTCCACAGCTGAAGTCAAGCAAAAGCACAAGTATAAATTGCTTAGACTTCATGAGCCTAAGAAGAGACCAACCCAGCCTGCAGAAAGAAGGGGCTAGCCTAGAGAAGGAAGCATAAGGAGGCTGTGGTAGGGTGCAGGGAAATGCTGTCATCCGCAGAGAGCCAGAGAAGTGCACAGCTTAACCTGTTAAAGTTGAATGGATTGGGACCCAAGAGAGTACTATGGCCCTTGAGGGACATAATCAGACCCATGACTGGGCCAGCAGGTTAATTGCTGCAGACAGGGATTGGAATCCTGGTAGCATCACGTTACTCTGCGCAATGAGTTTCCCCACAAAGAGGTTTCCTAATCACCTGCCTAATTTATTACATAGAAGGATCAATATCACAATAAGTAACTGAAACGTTGTTTGCAAGAGAAAGCTTAAATTTGAACAGTATTTTCTATTAACTTTCAGCCAAACACAAGAGATAAAAAATCACTAACTACTGGAGAATTAAGCTGGCGCTATCCTTCCTGTTTTAGATCTCCCTCCTAATTCACATATGTCTGCTTCACTCTCACAGCTGTTGTTTCAGGTATGAATGTTTCAGCCCCCATCAGACCTTCTGTATTTAGTTACCCAGTATTAAGATGACACTTGGAGGCACTGTAACATGCTTCAGTCATCCCAACAACATTCCCAATCTAGTCAGATGGTCGGTTTCACTAGCAACCTCTAGCCAAGACAAACAGGATCCCTTTAGGATGAAGAAATACATGTTCCACATAAAATAAAAGTGATGCATTCACAAAACACTTCTTCATTCCCTTGGTT